GATGAATACTTTGAACAGCAGTGCATTAAGCTACCAAATGATCCTGCAGAACTTGACCCATCAGTCAAAGACCTATTTCCTATTACTGACCATTCTTCACTACCACTTCTCTCAGAATATCGAAAAAAACTCTCAAATCTTTATGAATTGGAGAAACAATTACCACCAAAATTTTTTGACTTGCTGGCATCTAAACCAGCACTTCCTCTAACACCCCAACAGCTACCCCATAACCTCAGACAGTATTTCCCATGTAACCCAAAAGATACTGATAAACTAAAGAAGTTTATCGAACTTCTTTGACCCCATTATGGTTTCAAATGACTATCCAGTAATTACCTTATTCAAAAACCACGACTACCACTAGACCTAACAACTATCAAAACTCAACACCCATATACCTTTCCAATACAAGATAAGGCTTTTGCCAAAAATTTTCTAGCTGAAATTGAATATTGATACAAATTCACATTACCTCTCCTATTTTCTTACATGTCAGTAAATCTTACGAATAAACCAAACCTTCCCAAGGATTATACTCAAGTCCAACATTTAAACCTAACTATACCAATCACCTCTCCCAAACTGTTTGTTGAAATCTCTAGAGACCTTAGAAAGCACTACTTCTTCTACAACATCCCTGCCAGTTGGATTAACATACAACGCACTACAAAACATGCTGATAAACCTCTAATTCCTTAAAGCCTTGACGAGTTTAAGCTACAGTTACAACATATTAACCCCAACTTGATCAAAATAATACCTATTCATAATAGAACAATTGCTACAGAAACACTCGATAAAATCAAATTTCACTTCACTATTAATATAATTCCTGAATACTTGCTTAATCTTTCTGACTTACCTGATCCTGAATAGTCAATCTTTGATAACTATGAACCAACTAATTCTCACTATCAACCTACAAACCCTTATCCTAAACTTGACAAACTACAAAAAAACCTAAATCGAACAATGCCGCAACTACGATTAGCTGCTATAACCAACCCCAATATAACCTATGAGTAATTCAAATGCTATACCCAATGGTCAACAACCATCTAATCACTCCACCCCACCAAACACTAACTCCTCCTCATTAACATCAACTCTTCACATCCTAAATCATAATATACAAGGAATTAATCAACCTCTTAAACTTTAGCTGCTATTAGAACATTGCACCTCCGAAAACATTGATATTGCATTCCTCACAGAAACAAAACTTGCAGCAACAACTAATACGCCAACAGCACTTACCAATTCACTCTACAAGCTATATACATCTAATTGTGATCAAACAAATGCTAATATACGTGAATCATGTAAAGGCACTATTATAGCTTTCAAACCTACCCTTCAACCTTATATCCACAATATCTGCATCATCTCTGGAATCGCTATATTAGTCGACCTGTTCCTTCCAGCTAACAAAACACGCTTTATCTTAGTCTACCTACCATCACCATCTACCCCCACACTCTTAACCTATCAACACCAAATCATTTCTTGAATTAATGATAGCCGCTCCTATAATATGAACCTAATCGTTGCCGGCAACTTCAATAGTAATACAAACTGAGCCAATTACTATATTCATAACCCACTTCTGCAACACCTAGCCACCTCGGGTTTTATAAGCTTACTCCAACTACACCATATAACTCAACCTACATGGACCAGAAAACAAACATCAAGTCAAATAGATGATATATGGATAAATCCTGAAATTGCACTCTCATTCACAACTCCTTGTCTTCAAGATTTCTATAATATTACAGACAGTGATCACTAAATAATTAGCACAGAATGGCAGACACTCTCTTTACAAAAACAACTACATAGTAAGAAACAATATCGTAAAATATATAATTACGACAGAATGACCAAAGTAGATTGGGATGACTTCGCAAACTTTATCTCCACCTACCTACAAGCAACAATGCATTATACAATACAAATCACAAACGAAGACCAGCTAAACTGTTCATTTAACATTCTCAATAATATTATTAAACAAGCGGCTAATAAATTCATTCCACATACCTTTAGCAGCCCTCATACATTCTACGCACACTCCTTTAAAGCTAGTTCTCTCTATCGAGCACTAAAACATACTAACTACATATTCAACACACTCAATCACATCATCTCTTATAGCCCACATCATATACTTGCAACAATTAATAACATGCTTGACAAGATTAACTCGCTTACTCAGGCAACTAACCAACACTTACAATTAGCCGACTTTGAACCCAACACATATCCACACACAAAAACTTCCCTTAAACAACTCAGAACAACTCTTCACACTGCTCGTAACTTGGAAAATAATCAACAAAAAACAGACAAAATTCAGTACTACATCAACAGACGATATACTAACTTTTAAAGCAACACAACAAAGATGATTGATAGTGTACTAGGCTGACATCGCACTTCTATTACTTCTCACAACATCATAACACCGACTATAGTCATAACCGATCCACAGGAAATCAAACAAGCAATAGCACAACACTTTAAACAATAAACCAAACACAATCCTTACAATCCTGCCCTGTGGCTAGAATAGAAGCAATACTATGATCCAATCCCCTCAGCAACACCATTCACATATTCACAGCTGCTAGCAACAATTGAACTACAGGAAATTGAACAAACAATCAATAATGTACCAAATAACAAAGCCACCGGCCCCTCTACAATATCCAATGAAATGTTGAAGAAACTACCTAATGCAGCTATTGAACAACTAAAAAAGATCTTTAATGCATGCATTACATTACAAACAGTACCAAAGGCCTGGCATTATGAACTAGTTTGGCCGATACCAAAAAAGGGATACCAACCTGGCGACTTATCCCAAACTTAGCCAATTATATTGATTGAGCATATATGAAAAATCTTTACTAAAATTCTTACTTCACGACTTAGCTCAATACTAGTACATGCTAATCTACTTGATCCTTCTAACAACATCACACTACCACTAACATCTACCCTCCAACTAATACAGCATATAACCCATTTCCACGAATATGCTTACATTAATAACCGTGAGCTTTGGATATTATCGCAAGATATGTCTAAAGCTTACAATACAGTTCATATACCTCTATTAGAAAAAGCCCTCCTGAGAATAGGAGTTTCTACCCAATTCTCAAATATTATTAAATCAATCTTTTCATCACGTCAAAATCGTATAATCACATCAATCAGCAAAACACACCCCTACAATGTCAAGGATAGCATAGACCAAGGCGAAACAATATCTCTGATACTCTGGAGAATTTACTACAACCTCTTAATTAGCCATATAGCGAAATCTACTCTAGGCTATAAAACTTCAGTGCAAATAACCAACTCTGACCAAATACGAACTACCACAACCAATGTCATAGCTTTTATGGATGACACCACATGGATAGCACCTAACCACACCTCTTTACAACAAATCCTGATGATAGCATCCTCATTTTACCAGATGGCAAAAATCACAGTAAACCTATCTAAATCAGTTCTCTACTATAACAACAATAACGACACCTCATCTATTATTTTTCAAAACCAACCTATTATAAACTTACTGCCCAAGCAAACCTTCAAATTCCTTAGAACATATATCAATCATACTATCAATTTCGAGAGTCACATTCACGTATTTTTTTGTGTTAAAAGTGAAAAATTTTTACTACAGTAGTATATACATATATGTACAAACGGCATTCATGCATGACATAATCAAAATGATAATGCAAACGCAGATGATTATAAAAGGGACAAAAAAATTAAACAATCACAGCCACCAAATTTTGATCCTTTCTCTCGAGTTATCAAAGTTTGTGTAAAGTGAAAAAAAATTAAGGAAGCTCTTTTATTAATGATATTAAATTCTTTACAATATGTCGATAAATTTATTATCAACAGAAATTCTAAAAGAGATTTTCGAAAACATAATCTCTGATTCACGATCATGTAATTCAGTTAGTAATTTACGACCATGTATTTCTGTTAGTAGATATTGGTGTAAAACGGCTGTTCCAATTCTTTGGCGAGTACCAATTCTTCCTGGTGAATATTCTCCCGAAAAAACAATTAAACTTCTTTCAAGATCTTATTTACTTTGTCTTCCTAAGGATAAGAAAGAATATATAAAAAGTGAAGGAATTTATTTTCCACCTGCACCACGTAAAAAACCACCTCTCTTTGATTATCCTGCATTTTTAAGAATTCTAGATTTTGATCGTATTTCTGAGATGGCAAAATACTGGATTATTCATCGAAGAACATTATCAAAGCCAAAGATATATTACATGGATTTATTGAAAATGACATTTTGTGAATTATTTATGGAACGAGCGGAGATGATTCATTTCATTAATCATTCTGGAAACGGGAAAGTTCCAATATTTGATAATAAAGCTCCAAATTTTCAAAAATTGAGAAAGATTCAATTCATCGAAAGAGATAATGATACTACTTTCATAGAAAATATTTCTAATGTGGCAAATAATCTTCAACATATTATCGCTCAAAATAGAAATTCAAAAATTTCACTTTGCACTTGTAAAGCATTGGCAAACCTTATTGAAAATCAAGGATCTCTACAACATCTTGGTGTCATTGGATATTATCAAAATGTTTCAACGATTATTCATTCAGTAAAAAGTCAAAAAAATTCTTTGGTGAAACTCGAATTAAGCAATATTGACTTTCAATATTTTGATAGTAATGCTTTTGACGCTTTAGCTTGGTGTATTCATTTAAAATCATTCGAGATCATCAATTGTAAAAGAACGAATGATACATGTTTAAGACCTTGGCCAAACATGTTTCCAAAATTACAAAAATTCAAGTTTAATAATAATATATTTTATGATATTGCGTTTCCAACAAATTTTATCATTAAAATAATTGAATCAGCAGGTGATAATCTTCGACATATTAAAATTAATTCTACAAGTCCACCACAAGAAAATCGATCCAGGATTGCAAATGCTATAGCAGGGAATTGTAAAAATCTTCAACATTTATCATTTATAACATTATCGAATTCAGAAATTTTTTCAATTTTAGATTCATGTCAAAATTTGAAAGAATTAAAATTCTTTACGGAAAATAATTTTGATGATTCAATATTTGTAGAAATGGCGAAACATTTACCACCTACACTTCAATATTGGGATCTTGCAATTGAAGCAAATAATTATTATCCTTCTTGTAAAGCTGTTAAATTATTTATTGAAAGTATCGAGAAAAATTCTCTCAAGGTTTTTCATTTCACGAGCCTTTATTTCGGTGATCCTTATTTGGAATGTGCTATCAAAAGGTTACTTGAACAAAAAGGAATTATGACTTCATTCACAGACGCGAATATTGAACCTTTTTATTAATCAATTACTAATGTATTTGATAATATATGTTTATTATTTTTATTTTTCTTTAAGAAAATTCTTTCTTTTGTTTATTATATGCGTATGTTATATATCGAATTTCTTTAAAATTGAATGCAATTTTTTTGGAGATTTTAGGGATGGAGGTTCGCAAGAATGAATCAAAAAGCTTGTAAATCAAATGGAAATAGTTTTTAGGAAGTATTAATAGGGATGGGTAAAATAAGTATTAGCAAAATAAAAGGATTTCATTTGATCAACCAAAGAAAAGTACGGAATAAAAATTTTATTTTTTTTCGTCGAATATTTTTAATAAAGATTGGAGATAAATATTTGTGAGTTATAATATTTTATTATCACATGTTACTATTAGAATATAAAATCTGATTTTATTCAAACATTTTATTAATTAGATCACTAACGTAATGTTTAATAATGTAATAAAGTTATTTAATAAAGTTATTGTAATATTGTATAATATTTCGTAAATTACAACATTAATTGTTCAAAAATAACTTTTATCAATGGCTTCTACGAATAATAATACTGTAACAACGATAGTAATAATAGTAAAGGTATTTTACATTATCATTTACAAAATGCAAAAATCAAAAAAAAAAAAATTAGCGTTGATATACGATAGTAAATTTTTAATGTGATTAAATTTTATCAAGAAAGATTATACTAAGTTAAATTATAAAAAATTTTGTTTTTCACAAATTTTAACGCGTATTCCTATACAATTTTTCTTGAAAAACAAATTCAGCAACTGACTCAGGACAAAAATCGTATAAAATATTTTTAATCATTTCTTCTCGTTTATCATAATCATCACCATCATTTTCTTGTTCTATATTATTTATAGCATTTCTAACATTAGTAGACGAAATTTTTGCTAAATCATCATCTAATTTTACTCTTATAATTTTTTCACTTTCACCAATAATTTCCTTTAAAATATCACCTTGAAAAAATTTTTCTTCAGATTCTCGTCCACCATAGCCATCTCTATTAGCACAAATAATATTACTAATTTTAAAGAATGAATCAAGTTCTTTATAAATATTTGAATAATATTGAGGATTAAATAAACGTATTACAGTATCAAAACCTAAAATAAAATAAAGAGAAATTTGAGATGAATAATTAATAACAATAGAAGAAGAATCAATAAAACGAGATGTTGATTTATTATTATTAAAATAAGAATGTATAGCTTTCGCTTTATCCATAAATAATGGATGAGTTATCACACCAGTAGCAATATTTTGAAGAGAATTAAAATTTTGTTCAGTTTTGATAGAATGAATTTGTGATGCCAAAGATTCCATCATTAATATTCTATCCACTGGTCCAGCATCAGATGATGATGGTGTTTTATCGGCATTTTTTATCGCATAAAGTAATAAACAGGCATCAAAAATTATTGAATTATTATTTGATTTTGTATTAGAATCATTTGTTACGGATTCTATTAATAATTGCATATGTGCTTTTGTAGGTGGATTAAATGATGAATCTAAAATTGCGATTTTTAAAGGTGAATTTCTTGGTTGAGATTCTGTTAAATAATAAGGCCAATTTGAAGAAGATGTATATGTTAATTTAAATAATGGTTGAGAAGGATTTAAATTTAATTCTTTTTGTAATGAAGTAAGCAAATTTTCTAAAGTTTCTCGTCTAGCCGCTCGATGTGTACACATTTTTGTTAATGTAACAGTAAAAGTAATTCTGTTGATAGTAAACGTCAAAAAATAGTTAATTTGATGATGCACGTGCTAGGATCCACAGCAGCATTATTAAATACGTCCGATGAAAAAAAAAATTTTTTTTTCTGGTAATTATGAAATAATTTTCTTAAAAAAAAAATACACTGTTCTGATTCGATGCCATCATCATTATCATCAAATTCTTCACATCCTCAACAATCAGAATTTAAAGATTGCCCATCCTGTAAATTAGTAGGAGCTGTAACGTTTATTGGATTAGGCTCTTACGCAATTTATAACGGTATTAAAACTGAAAATGTAGCACTCGGCTTATCTCGATCCGCTCAATTTAGAAAAGTTGGATTAGGAGTTTTTGGAATCGGTAAGTTTTTATATAAAATTTAATTAAAAATTGCATTCTATGTAATCTCTAAAAAATTCTTAAAATTTGAAATTTTATCGTTTTTAAGCAAATATATGTGCTGGTTTATATCGTCTTTTTCAATAACATGTATAAGATCTTGAAGAAACGACAAATAAACTTAACTATATAAAAAATTATTATAGTTTTTAAATTTATAATTCTATGAATAATTACTGTATAATCTCCTAAAGTACGTGAATTCCAACCATTGAATTACCGTAAAACGCCAACTAAAAACCTGGTGATGTGATACGGAGAGACTACAGTGTTCCTAATTACGCTATAACATTACGTACGTACGTACGTACATTACACGGATACGATCTATTAGTCGATACTTTACAATAGTTGCATGCATACGTACGTGCTGTAAGTACATACAACACTTACGTACATACGTACGTACGTACAGTCATCGGCAAAAGTAACGCCCGATTTTGATCCCGTGATCGATGATCATATAAATACGTAATGTTTACCC